AATTGCTTCTCATCTGCCAAAAGCTGCATAGTTTTTGGGAGTTTATCAGACTTTGTTGAAAAGCATTCACATAACATAAATATAGGCTTGTGCCAACAGTGACTCAAATTCTTGAACTTCCGAAACCAATAAATGGTTCCGAGACAGGCATATCCAAACAGGGTTGCATTGCCAGGTCAACCTAGTTACCAGTGTTAAAGCAAGTTTCTTTTAGTTCTCCAAATAACAGGGGGGTCAATATCAATACTATATTTGCCACTAAGATAAAGGGTACGGGTTATAGAAGAACAGAACTAGCAGCATAAGCAGCTCAAGATAGTATTGGTCAATGAAGAGTCAAGAATACTAGTTACTCAGTTCCCACATAGCAAGTAGAGATCAAGCTTCCTAAACGATAAATTAAGGAATATTCAACCAAATGAAGAACATAAAAGAACTAAAATAAAAGATGGGGGAAGAGGAACTACCTTTCTTAGCTTGGAACCATTGACAATCTTGATGTTCTGGATAAAAACAAAATGCTTTTTTGCCAGGGCCTCTGATAGTTCTTGTAGGACAGGCTGGAGTAATTCAGCAAATTGTGCTTGGCCCAGTTCTTCTTCCCCATCAGCTTCGTGTTTCTTCAAGATATCACTTAGAGGAGGAAATTCTGTTAAATTGCACCTTGTTAATTATCAACTCTATAACTAAGAACATCAAATATGGAATAGACAGTTCATAAATTCTAGAGACTGGATTAAGTACTTCATGACAAGCTAGATCTCAACATATGCACAAATTAATAGTGCAAAAGACAAGCTAAAACATTATAAGTGAAACTTTGTATTAAATCTTCGTTTGCAAAACACAAAATATGAATAATCTCAAGGTATTTTAAGCATAGATTAAACAATTTGAGGAAAATGAGATGAGAAATCTAGGCACAAAGCTTAAGAGGATTTCCGTCCTCATTCCCCTGATGTGACTGCAGTAATCAAAGTCCTCATTCCCCTGATGAGAAATCTAGTATGATAAGGGTCTACAGTATTCAAAGTCCAAAATAAGCTTCTTCTCTCTCTTGTAGGTTTAAGGTTCATGCAAAGTCTCAAAATCCACATCAGAATACACAAGATACACTCTAGCACTCAGAATATAATAGTAAAACTAAAGTATGAGAAGGTGAGCAATAACAAACTTAAACCAAAAAAAGAGGATGCTAGAAAGTATTAATCGCATGTTCAAAATAAATGGATAAAGTCAATTTACAAATCTGACCAATGAGGATCGAAATAATCTGGTCTAAATTTGATCCTTTGCCACTTGTATATAGATAGAGTACCTCCCTACTAGTAGGCCATCCATGGACCCAAGAAGGTGCAGTCTTGTAGTTTAAAAAAGTGCTCGAGTCATAGGAGAAATTTTTAGAGAACCAACCAAATATAACAAAACTTTAATTAGTTTCTGTGTAGGGTCAATTATTCATTTACAGATAACAAACTACATAAATTTTCAATCATCCTAATTAAATTAATAGCGAAAGCAAAGAATTCAATATGAACCTGAAATGGGTGGAACGCCCATCTCAACTCCCATGTGAACAAGTGCATTCCGGATCTCATTCTTGTTGATCTTTCCTGTGTCTTCTACATCCAGATCAGTGAACAGATTCTCTGCTAGCATTGCAAAATCATCCTCATCCTCTAAAAACAGTCGAAGAGTGTATCCATCCAAGACAGATATGACAAGTGGATCATCTGCAGAGTGAAGACAGAATTTCAGCATAAGCATGCATTATTTTCATAATCAAATTTTGAAATATTTCAGTTCATCATATTTCTAAAAATAGAACAACAATCTCTAACGTCCATAGTCCAAATGCTTGTAGGCTAACTCAAAATTCTCCAAAACCAATTTCTGTTGATGCCAGGCACTTTCTAAACAGCTGATTTCCTAATCTCAGTCAGATATAATTTGTTCTTCTTGCTGACAGAATGAGAGTGAATAGAGGAGAAATCAGTTCTTAGATCCTAGATCACATAAGACGTCTAAGACTCAAGCTTTTCAATTTCTTTCCTCCACTTTTCCTAATATTTTCGGCAACCAAACAAAGCAAAAAAAAAAAATTAAAAATCTCGTACACGGATGCCAAAATCCACTAATACAAAAGCACATTCATGCTCTTAATTCATCGGCGACGAGAACGTCATCATAAACTCGTTTTCGGAATTATAACATAACGTATCACACAATGTATATAAATATCATATATTATAGGTATGCAAGCAGCACCTTTTAATTCATCGGCGATCGCTGTGATGTAGTCCGTGATCACCTTCAGAGCCTGCTCGCGATCTAGCTCCTTGAGGCGGAAGACGTCATCGTCTTGAAGGCTGATGCGTTTCAGAGCAGAGGACTTGAGGCTCTGAGGCAAGGAGAGGCCGAAGAGAGACGAGGAGGCTTTGGAGTCAGCGAGGTCGAGGACCTGAGCTCCAGTGAGGCTGACCTCAGCTTCCGGCAGAGAAAGGTCGATGGCTCTCAGGTGGTTCCCGTCGAGGACCTTTAAAGCTCCGTCCGACATTTTCAGTTTTCCGAGAGAGAGAGAGAGAGAGAGAGAGAGAGAGAGAGATGACTTTGAAATTTTGATGTTTGGGATTGGAGTTTACGCAGTGGACTTGGAATTGGAATAGTCTGGTCTCCTGGTCTGGGATGTCCGAAAATGCAACTTTAGCTTTGGCACCTCGGTTTTTAGGCTAATTACAGAAAACGTCAAACACTGTTTTATTTTATTTTATTTTATATTATTATTAAAAATCAACAAATTTTAGTTTGATATTTTAGTTTTTATTAAATAATTTTGGTCTTATTATATTAATTTATTTTTTATTTAGTATAACTTAAGTAGGAGCATAATTGGTATTTTGTCAAAAGTGATTGATCAAGAGAAACTGTAAATAGACAAAAATTTAGCCCTATTTTATTTTCATAATTATCAATTTGGCTTATTTTGGAAGGAAGACTTAAAGTTGACTAGCTTTCTTTTGTTTTTGTTTTCTAAACCAGAACCAGAATCATCAATGCAGACCAACTTTGTAATTTAGACCCAAAAAAAGGACCAACTTTGTAATTAGCCTTGGAGACAAAGCCCACGTAGCCATAATCTCGTGTTCAGAAACAAAGCCTATCTCTCAAATATGCTAAAGCCCACATCTCTTCTTCAGTCCTCTTTTGTCCTCCTTTGTCTTTTTCGAAACCCCACAAAGTAACTTCTTTCTTCTTTAAACCTTTTTTGGGTCCAAGTTGTTTCGAATCCTGTTGATGATCCTACATGAACTAAGAAACCTACTTGGATTATGAAGACACGGTAAGCAAGAAAGGAAGAATGATTAAGGTAAGGTAACTAGCCTACTTGAATTAGGAACTGTCCAGCCACTTTCCTATATAAATTATGACCTGCACGTGATTCTTAATAATCTATCTAATCAGTCAGCCCTTCCTTCGACTTCGAGTTCAACGTCAACTTCATCAAAGAAGAGAAACAATCAAATTCAATGGGGAAAAGAGGAGGAGCTAAGAGGAAGGCCAGCCACATAGAGATGGAAGAGGCCACCCACCTGAACAAGCCGTCTAAGCAAGACACCGCTCGGCCATTGCCACAGCGGCGGCGGCTCAAGGAGAAGCCCTGCAACTCCGATGAGCCCCGCAACCTGGAGGATCTATGGAAGGCTGCCTTTCCTGTTTGTACTTCATGGTATCACGTGGACTCTGTCTACAACGAATTCAAGTGGGATTTCTCCCATCTTGAACAAGCATTCCAAGAGGGAGGAAAGCTGCATCATCATGGGATCGATGCCAACAACAACAAATTCTATCTGTTCGGAACAACCGAAATTCATAAACAAGATGTCGGAGAATATGTTTTGATCCCTGTGGTGGTAGCCATTGTATCAGCTTCCCCGCCTTGCCATCAACTAGGCTTTGACGTAACTGATTATGACATGCCGGGAGCCAATGAACGAGTTATAATTCCAATGAAAAAGCTCAAGATGGATTGGATCCCCTACATTCCTGTCCACAAGAGACAAGCCAAAGTTGAGAGACTCATGAAGAGATCTCCTCAGATATTTGTGTTAGGCTGCACTCAGAGAAAGGTTGCTTTAGAACACATCAACTCAGACCGTTGCCTCAAAATTCAATACTCCGTGCCCTGTTTACATGACCATCATGATGGGAATGGGGTTGATAAGACTAATACTAGACCGTTGAGTCCACTGAGGGAGTTCCTCCTTGAGCAGGTGATACAAGAAGATGAATTTTTACCTCAAGAAAGAAAGGATTTCCTGATGGGGTATGTCAGGGAGCAACTCTTTGAAGCAAAGGGAGCAGCTAATAAAAAACCGAGGATTTACAAGTTCTACCCCCTACCAACCCCGCACACTCCTCCCCTTAGGCACAAGTTTGCCGGCATCAACAACTTTTGCCCGGACGCTGATGAGGTTCTGTGATGGATGATCATAAGTCCATCAGTGATATATATATATATACCTCAAACAATTGAAGATATATTGCTAAATTTGGTTTTTGACACGTATGTATGCATCATGTATGCTCCCTAGATTCATATTCTAGTATTTATTTGTGTGTAGTTTGATAATGAGAAACAAGTTTGTTTTGAAGACAACACAACAACGAGAGTCCAATTTAATCCCTTTTCACATTAGCAACACGTGATTCATTCATTCAATCAAATCACTGATTTTAAGGAAGAGAATACAATAGACAAAATCAAATGCGTGCGTGAATGCAGGGACAAGGATGTTCCAAGAGTCATGGTCACCAAGGTGGCTCAATTCTTTCCCAGTGCACTCACGACTTTGAAACCAATTTCTAGAAATACTGGCTGACTAAAGACGAAATTCATATCATACAAATAGATAAATAAAATACTTCTTTGACTTCATATATATTTTCTAACTTAAAGAACGGACAACGTTTACCCTTTACTTAAGATACAGAGCATATATAATATATGTCTCATTTCTGTGTAACCGTGTGCAAGCACAAAACGTGGTTAACTTGGAAATTGAGATCATGATCAAACACAGCATGGGAGAGGTCTTAACTGAACAACAGATTGCTGAGTTTCAGGAAGCTTTCTGTCTCCTTGACATGGATGGAGATGGTAATTAGTCTCTTCTTAATTATTAATTATGAATGTTTAGCCAAATATTTTATATCATAGCTAGAGAGAGTAGGATCTGCTTGCTTGCTTTTGCACAAGTGTTTCTTAAGAAATCAAATGATTTACATGAACAACACATGTTATGTACCAAATTATTAAGCCAGTAAATTCGGTTACAAACAGCTATTAGAGCTATTGTTTCTGTTAGTTTCTAGATATATACTCAGCTCAGGCAGCCATGCGTGATCTTTGACAACTTGAATGCTTTGCTGCTATGGCAGCTTGATCATTACTGTCTGAAGGTGTGGCTTAATTTACTGGCATTTTCATTGTTGTTGCAATTTCTGTTTCATGTTTGTGTGCGCGTCCTTTGATTTCCATACTAAATGAATGATGCATACCGCATTCACATGGACTTCAGAGCAACATCATAGCTAGTACTACTTACCTTGATTTTATTCATGTGTTTAATTTGGTTTATTTCTTTAAAAACTTGTTAGGCTGCATTACCATTGAAGAACTGGGGACTGCGCTCAAATCATTGGATCAACATCCTACGGAAGAAGAGCTGCAGAACATGATAAGAGAAATCGATGCAGACGGGAACGGAACCGTAGAGTTTGGGGAGTTCTTGCATCTCATGGAAAGAAAAATTAAGGTAAAATTAATTACCTAACAGTAATCATTTGACAGCAAAACAAAGAATTAACTAATCCATGTTTTAATTAATGTGGTGATTACGAAGGAAAATGAGGCGGATGCAGAACTGAGAGAAGCCTTCAAAGTTTTTGACAAGGATCAGGATGGCTACATTTCACCTAATGAGGTTGAATAATTCTTCATCCCAATAATATATTCCACATCCATTATTTTTAGAAGAAAAAAAAAAAATTTATTTAACCCCGCTTAGCTAATGAGACCCTGCCAACAAATGAAGATCAAAGTTCAAACAATCCAAGAACTCCTGATTTTAATCTTGACTTTGCTTCTAATATATAGTTTTTTATTTGTTCTGCACGGGCATGGGGACGACATGGTTGGATGGTTGCAGTTGAGGCATGTGATGATTAATCTTGGAGAAAGACTGACAGATGAAGAGGTAGAGCAAATGATCAGAGAAGCAGATTTGGATGGCGATGGCTTAGTCAATTATGATGAATTTGTGAGAATGATGTTGGCATTTTGATTTTGATTTTGAGTTGTTCAAATAATAAAATGATGTCGTTTTGATTGGTTTGTACATTTTCGGTTTCAATTTGTACTAGGCCGTGCTCTTATAAGAGTCCATTTCTATTCATCTATTTCCCTAATTTAATTCCGAAGAATCTTTAATTCTATGCACTTTTTTCTTTTTTTCTTTCTTTTCCTCATCAACGTCTATGTACATCTTTTGAGGCAGCAAAGTAATAAAGAATCTTGAATTTTTTGAGGTCCATGCGTTTGTATTTTCGTGAGAGAAACTAATCACAATCAAGCATCAACTAGTTATTGTATTTGACTAACTATAGCACATGGGAAACTTTACCCTTGTATAAAATGTGAGAGATCTGCTTCGTTACTGTCTTATACTTGGGTAGATTGATAACACCATACTCATATCATACGTGTAAATAAAACCATCGCGTAAGTATATTTCATTTCATTAATGGGCCTAGGCCTACCTAAACCACCAGGGAACCAATTGAAGTGTGGATTGAAAAAATAGCGAACAGGATGAGAAACCGAGAAATGGTTTTATGTTGGGCAGTGGGAAAGTCCCAATTATAGCATGTAACAGACTCTAGCAAGCAAAGGCACCAACAAGTTGTTGTTGTTGTTGAGGTATTAAGACAAAGGAAAACCCTGCACAGGGTTTGCAAGAAAGCAAATGGGTGACGTGGGTTGCACTCAACTCAATAACCATAAAGCTTGTATGGAGTGTAGCCAAATGGGGCTTCCAAACAAAACAAAGTGAACAACATAGATACAACTCTAGATATGAATATATATATATATATATCAATCAAACTGGTTTCATTTCATGCAGTGCTGCAGTTTTTGCTTACATTATGAAACTTCCACGTATGCAAGACTCGGACTCAGAGAGAGAGAGAGAGAGAGAGAGAGAGTGTGTTTTTGAAAAAGTTAGGTAGCAGCTTAAATGTTATCCAGAAATTAAGATGCATGCTTTAGGCATTGGCGTGATAAGATGTCACACATTATACTGACCGGGAGATATGCATAAACGAAATAATCATGACCTGTTGTCTGATATTTTCTTATCAGCACACGTTAATATATACCAAGGATCTTAATGGGATTTTAGGACCACATCAATCAATCAATCAATCAATCACAGAAATTAAAGTAAAGAAAGGGAAGAAATGCCAAACCGTTCCATGCACGCCTGCACCTTGAGATGTATGTGTTTGAACAACCCCAAAAACAGATTCTCCGATTCCTTTTTTCTCTCTTTCTTGCCCTTCTACCAGATCTGCAACTATGTTCCATCAAGCACCTAGATCTGCTAAATATTGTTACTGTGGTCATGCAGTCTAATCTGGCGAATTCATACATACATACACTGTTACAGAGTGAGAGAGATTATTTCCTCATCTCATCTATATATGATTTTGGATTATAATTAATTGGTAATTTGAGAAGACTGAATCTCAATTCAATAATAAAAACTTATAGAAAAAGAATATATGAAAAGATAAGAACAGATGAGTACAAAGGAATGCATATAGAAACTTGAATTAATAATTAATGGACACAAAACTGTACATGAAGGGAATATAACTAATTAAAAACACTTTTCCCAACGAACGAGGATGGATCTCAAAAGCACCAAACTGCATTGACACACAGAAATTCTGTCACTCAAACCCCAAACATCAATATCTCTCTCGCTTGCTCTTCAGATGGAGATGAGATCTCCACAGCCCAAGCCTAAGCCTAGCTGTATGCTAAAGCTCCGATAGGTTTCTCACTTTAACAATATAACATGCACAACGTCCAAAACATCAAAATACATATGATATAGATGTGCCATGAATAAAATGGTTGTGCACAACAGCAAAATTGTGTGAGATACCCAGATGAGCAAAGGAGAAAACTGTGGGACAGATGTGCAAAAGTGAATTGATGGAAATTTTATGTATGAAATAGACAGACCTTTTCTAGCTAGGGTTGAAAACCCTAATGGGTTCTTGAAGAGATCCATGGCTAAGAATCTGGTGGATTAACAGTTGGGGCTGATAAGGGGTCTACGGTGCTCCAGTCAACAGATGAAGCAACCACATGATCTAGCCTTTCTTATAAAAAAGAAAGCTCAGATCATGCTGGCAGCTTCAACAGTTGGAAGTGCACGACGACGTTTCACGCACACTCATTCTTTCAAGTGTGTAGCTCCTCACCTCACTCAACCTCAACTATAAGTGTTTCTCCTCCTTCTAAGTTCTTCCTATTCTTCTTGTTCATCTTGGAGGAGGCTTCAGAGATGAGAAAAGATAAGAGGATATAAATAGAGCGAGAAGATGTTAGGGGTCTTTAAGTTCTACTTCTTCCACGCAATCAACTTTTGCATCTTCCACTCTGTCCTTTTGTCTCATGTGAATCGGTCTTCAATTCCTACTTTTTCCAGTCCGTGTTTCGCATCTTCCACTCCATCCTTTTTTGTCTCGTATGTGTGGATGGTGTAACTTAATAAGTAAGCTAATTAAACCTAATAAATCTAGCAATTAAGCCTAATTAAGACTGAAATAGGACACGATTTGTAGCATAACTGTTAATTTTGCACTATCACCATAAGATATTACGGTATCAACATGGGTTGATTGAGTTGATAATGATTTTTGTCTTAACTATCAAAGCCTAGATTCGAGTGCTACTGCCGACAATTTTTCTTAATGAGTAATTTGTAAAAACACAAAAAGGGAATAAGACTTAATGAGTAATTTGTAAAAACACAAAAAGGGAATAAGACTTAATGAGTAATTTGTAAAAACACAAAAAGGGAATAAGACTCAACTTTCCATCGTATTGCATTATTTTCCATTGATTGTACGAGAAATAGTAATGGCTAGCTTGGTAATAAAGTACATAGATTAATGAGTGATTAGAGAGTAGAAAATTAAAGTGAGAAAATGAAGCGCGCGCGCACACACACTAGGTGGTGGTAGCAAGGAAGTAGATGGAAAGTAAAAACAAGGGAAAAGATGAGAGGAGAGATGCATGTGGCCCCGAAAACAAAATGAAATAGAATATTAATTGTCACCCCCACGCCACCACATGCGGACAGGCCTTTGCGAGAGTTTCTATATCTTCTTAACTTAAGAGGGCTTTATAACTTTAGTTGGACGACCTTTTCATATTGCCTCTCTGAGCTTCTCCCTCTGTCCTCTCTCTCTCTGCCTGCCTGTGCCTGTGCTGTAATGTAAGCATCAAGCATGAACCAAAAAGAGTATAAAACACAGAGCAAAAGGGGGACCATTAGTTTTGCATGGCTCATCAGGGTCGCATAAGGTTCACACAAAAAGGAAAATAAGCTGGCATGGCATGGCACCAAAAATAAGAGGTTTCATGTGTTTTTTCTTTTGTCCCCGTTACCTACGTATCAAGACCTAGTAATCTGCTGCTACATATGGTCTGCACTCTTGTCACTTCCTAATTTCATTTTTCTTTTACTTATTTCGATCCCTGATGTTAACATTTGGCTTCTTTTTGGAAAGAAAAGAAAGAAAAAAAAGTGAAGCCATTCCATTTGGAAGTGATTTCCAATTCACTGAATTAATTTCAAGCAAATAAAAAAATCCTACCTTAACGGCTAATATATATTAGAATGAGTGATAGCTATTGTTGATGAACAAATTAAAGTACAAAATAACTATGGTGTGAAATATGGATAAATCTTCTCGAGTGATCAAACATAATAAAATGTTGAATTGATCCGGAGATAATTACACTCAATTCGAAAATGATTGAAATTGCCGATTTAAGTTTCAACAATCAAAATGACATGTACTTAGACTTGTAATACAAATCCGATATGCAATGGCAGAAACAACAAATTCATAAAAAAAAAAGCCAATTTATTTTCATTAAGTTATTTTCCAATTTATTTCTTCATCAATATTACAGTTCGGGCGGTGGTCCATCTCTGTTGCTTTCTGTACCACTCTCCCGTGCGCCGCTGCTAGCTTAACCCACACACCGTCGTGGTTCTCTTGGTCAGTTTTCTAATTATTTATTATTTACCGAAACGTTTTGGTCACAAGAATATTTGGAGTTCTCATTCTCAACACATAAAAACTCTGGAAAAATCTTTTTAATATTATTTTAAATAGAGAAAATGAAACAAAAATACTCAGACCGGGAGAATTAAACGAGTCACTACACATATGGCATCGGAGTTATATCCGCGTGGCATGACAATGTGCAAGGGTCAATTTCTTACAACAGTAGTGCAACTCAACACTTGTCGAAAAAGGTTATTATATTCATGCTTTCCGTTTAATTAGCTTTGACTTTTATTTTCAGAGATTCATTATTATATCCAATATAAAAGCGTAAATTATAAAACAAATTCCATCTGTAATAGACTTTAGAAACACACTCAAAGACCATGTACAACATAACAAATTTTTTTTAAACTTCTTTTAAATTACAAAACTGCTATTAATTTATTAAAACAAATTTAATTCCAAAACCTTATAAAAAAAAATTCAAAACACTCAATAGGAAATCAAAGTAATTTAATAATTAAAATTAAATTCAATATGACAAGCTATTATTTTTTGAATTTCTTTTAAATTTATTTATAGAAATTAAATGATGTATAATTTATTTATAATTTTAGTGCTAAAAATAAATAAATGACTAAATATCTCTTTTATTTTTAACAAAGTGCCTACTTGCTTTGCAGACTTCCAAAGCTGCAGAAAAACTTGTATAAAACAGGAATAATACTATTTTACTATCCATATTAATCACAAATTAACATGTAGAAAAGTAATCATGCATGATATGGCTGAAAATAACACTATTCATCTAAGTGTTTCTTGCAGCGCAGAGGTTAAGATAAGACAAGACCCACATTAAGAGATAAAGAAATCACGAATTCCTCCTCTTAATTGTTTAGTTTGTAAAATATGGCAATATTTGAGCAGCAGGAGTCAATGTCATGCCTGGAAATTACACTAGAATGGCCCTG